TATACGCTTTTATAACAAAATGCCAGAAAATATACAAAATTTGACATAAGTACACATAGTTTAATAACTTTATTAAACTAAGTTTGTATAAAAAGGGCTATATTAATATTAAGGAATTTATGGATGATAATAAGCCCTGGGAAGGAGGAGGAAGCTATTTCTAATTTGTTTTGTGTTGTTAATTGTAACACGCATGATTATAAGCTCTTATTTAAAAAAGAACTAGTCTCGTTGGGTTTCTTGCTGGTTCTTCCCAGGACAGAGGTATTTTTTCGAACCAGTGGTAAATGAAAAAAGTGACTTTCAATAAGTATCTATACATATTATAATAAAACAGTAACGAAAGAAAAACTGTACATTGAGTATTTTCTAGAAAAAATTTTTGTCTGTTTGTCTGTGTGTATGGTACGGCTTCACGCCAAAACTACTGGATAGATTGAATTGAAATTCAGCAAAAAATGTTCTTTGTAAACCAAGGAAGGCTTTAGGCTACATATTATCACGCCATATGTTATAGGAGGTACAAAATAATTGTATGCACAAAATGAGATGTTATTAGTTAAAATAAAAATAAAAATTTAATTCTGGGAACATAATAATCACGCTATTTTTATAAAGGAGCGTGGCAGTAATATTATAAATTGCAAGGGAACAGCTGTTTAACAATATGTCAACGGGGAATTTAGCTGTAAGGTCAGGCGACCGTTTACCGCATTAAATGGTGCAAGTTTAAATCCCATAGTATTATTTTGAAAAATCGTAATTTTTGTTTAATTTTTGCACTTTTTATGTGCATTAGGAAATCTGAGAACTTTACATGTCCTATCTAATTGTATGGAGAGTTTCACACCAATATTATTAAACAGATTGATTGGTGGTACAAGTTACACTATCATGAAGTCAAGTCAAACTTTTGATTCTCAGTTATATCTTACCAAGCACATTTGTTGCAGGTAATTGATTTAAGTATGTAATTCTTAGTTTTGTTCCTTGCTGCTGTCACCGTATTTTTCAATGCAAAAATAATGTACTTGTCCATTAAATTAACGACATTTTAGTTTTAATTCATAATTTAATTAATTCATTTCGGTAAATAATATGTAGTTTCCGTTCACTTACTAGATGGCGTTGGCGTCGAGTTCGACGCTATGGTTTCGTTCCCAAAAAGTGATGTTATAGGTGCCGATATAGATATAGGTCTAGGTAGGATATAGGTCTGTGTTGGTTGATGTGTTTAATTTTCCTGCGAATAATTATTATTTTTCTACTTACTAGCAATTCTTACGTACTTATCCGATTACTTTTCATTGTTTTGAATATCGTTAGTATCGGATTAAGAAGGAATTTTAGCTATGCCTTTTAGAAAAAGATCAAATCTGTCTCGAAACTCAAGGGTTTCTAAGATGCGCAGGTTAGTTAGTAGTAGCGGTAGTTTCTCTCAAGCAGAGCGTGAACAACGGCTAGGTGCTAACCGTGAGCGTAATGCACTAAGTTTGTCCGCAGAAACTAGCACGCAGCGCCAATTACGACTAGAATTTAAACGAGTCCGCAATACTGCTTCTCGATCTCAGGAAAGTGTGGAACAATGAAATGCTTTTAGCTATTGACCGAGATCGTCATTCTTTGTCTCGCGCATCCGAAACGGTTACACAGAGGAATCAGAGGTTGAGTTTTCAGAATATCCGCTCTGAGACTGCTCGATCACTTGAGAGCAGTCAGGAGCGTGAGATACGACTTGCGCGTAACCAAGAACGTCGACAAAGCCAAGGGTACAGCTACAGCTTATAAAGAATTTTTTTAAAGTGATTTGCAATATTATTGTTAATTGAGTGTACCCTTGGGATCCGGTGCATTCAGCACCGGATCGGTGAAATGTACGGAATGAAAAGTTTTTTGTTGTATAGGTGTTAAGTCTAGGTAGGATATTAGAAATATCTAAATTTGTAAAAAGACACCAAAGTTTTTACACCAAAATCATAGACGCGCCCCGACACAACGTACCTCGCTATAAGAATAACCTTTTGCAACCAAAATCTAAATTAAAATTACACAGTACAGGTCCTTACTCGATGTCAATAAAAATTTATAATAAATTGCCGGAATACATAAAATCCGAAACAAATATTAATAAATTCATAAGATCTTTAAAAGAGATACTTATTAAAAAAAAGTTATTATTCAATTAATGAATACATTGAGGAAAAGAATTTTTAAGTGTCTGTCCCTCTCCTGTTCATTGCTATGCCTTTCGAGGTGCACGTGATTGTTAGAACTTGCATGTTTTGTTTAGTCTCTAAGTCACATGTAACGCAATTTGTGAATAAATAAATAAATAACATATAGGCTATAATTTATTTTGGAAAATGGAACACCTGATGCAGAACCGCAACAGACCAGCTAAAGTATAAGAGATATAAAATGGTGTCATAGCAAAAAATATTCCACGTAAGAGTTTTTTCCGCTGTGAGAATAAATTTGAAGATCTGGAACACCTGTTGTGGAACTCCAAAGCCCAGTGACATTATAACATATATAGAAATGACGTCTTAGCAAAAGTTTTTTAGTCTGATGGGCATTTCGTGTTGACTTACAAAAATAAAAGATCTGGAACGTCTCGAATCGTCTCGCGCATCACGTTGTTTTTCCGTCCCCGGGCTCTTAGAATTCGACATCAACATTTTAGATCTTCGATTTTGACGACCCCGTTGTCGCTGGCGTAAGCAACAAGATATTTATGCTTTTAAGCCATAACTTTTGAATAGGTTCAGTTGGAAACCTGTAAATTTTTTTTTATTGGATTGAGTGACAAACAAGCACACAGTCCACCTGATAGTAAGTGGTTGCTGTGGCCCATAAATAACATATGTGGCGTAAGCAACATCATCCGCGTACGAAGTCGCGGGCGGCAGCTAGTTATTCATAAATTAAAAAGTTTCTGTTTCTGTTTCGAGAGCTTGCTGTGCGTAATTTTGTGATTTTATGTTTGTTTTCTTATTTTGTGACTCGGCTTTAACTTTTTGGACTGTTTCTTCTATAATAACTTTTTGTACGTGGTAGAGCCACGCTACATCTATATATAGTTGCAACACGAATGGGTCGATTCAACCAGGGCAGGACCACGCTCTCACAGAATACCAACGTAAAATAGCGGCGTAATGATGATGTGTTTCATATGGTGAGTGTAGAGAACTGGAGACCCTTTTTTGTGGAATCGAGGCATTCCATCTTAATCCTCAGGGGTGACAACGCATTTTCATTTTGATTCTTAATTGAAGATAAATGTGTATGTCTATGGGCCATAGCATCCACTTACCATCAGGTGGACTGTGTGCTCGTTTGTCACCCAATGCTATAAAAAAATTCGTTGAAGCATGTGCCCATGTCACAAAGGATGTTTGGGCAAAAGTGGTAGAAAAACAAAAAAATTGATTATGGATAACTTTGAAAGAGACATTAATTTTGACTGCATTATTGAAAATCAAATAATAATAATTAATATAAATAACGACACCCCTACTAGTTGTACTGAAAGTGACTGAATAAATTTATTTTGAATCTAGTTTCAATCTTAAATTTGTATAACTGTGCCTCTAGAAATAAGCAGTAACAACAAATACGAAGAAACTGATAAATCTTGTGTTTAAATTATCCGGTTTTAATTTATTCTGGTATTATTCAAACCAAACTGTAAATGATTACCAACTCTAAATAATCGATATCGATTTTTTTAATAATCGAATATTTTACGTTCCCATTTTTTGGTTGGCATGCTTGGTGCAATAAGTCCGACAGCTGTCAATTATTGCACCAATTCTTACATTTGGTTGACTATAACTAGAATCAACTTTTCTGTTTGACGTAGTTTATAAGTCTTTATGAATATAGTGTTTGAATTATTCAAATTCATGCTAATGCCAACAATCGGTAAAAATGTACTAATAATAATAATATATATATATATATATATATATATATATATATATATATATATATATATTATATATATATATATATAATATATATTATAATTTTTATTTTTAGAGGTGCATAAATTATAAGAATCGTGAGTTCCACAAGTTTCATTTTTAATAATTTCTGTGAATCTCACTGGGGTGAAGTTGCGAGTAAGTTTATAAGAAAGAAAGAAAAAAAGGGAATTGACTGCCGAATTAAAAATGACAAACTCAAAATAATTATTCAGACACATGAAAGTACAGAATATTTTTTACGAGAAATTAAAATTATAATCAATTGGGGCAACGTTATATTCATTGATGAAACATGGTGAAACGCCAACCACACTGTATCGCATACATGGATAGATAACACGTGCCCGCGGTTGAAGATGGGTTGTCTTATAATACGGCATGTGGAATCCGCCGGAGGAGGATTTGTAAAAAGTACAACTACTACACAAGGGATGACTAAACCTAATGGAGAAAACAAGGAAAATTATTATGGATGACCGTGAAAGAGTTTCATTTTTAATGCGTTATTGCAAATCAAAAAATAAATAATGTAAACTAAAATAATGACAGTGACAGCTCAAATGGTCGTAGTGAACGTTATCAAATTTTTTTAATCTAGTGTAGTCTTCAATTTTTATAAGTTTATCTCTGTAAATTACCTTATTCTAATATTAATCTAGATAGAGCTGTAAACGATTACCAAATCTAAAGAATCGATATCGATTTCTTGTAAGAATCGAATGTTATAGGGGCCGATTTTTCAGTTGGAATGCCTAGTGCAATAAAAATATGACTGCTGTCAAAAGATAAAGATATTTCAGGTGTTTGGTGGAGTTATAGGTTTATAGGTGCAGATCAAAGACTACATTATTATTATATAGGGAAGTACAAAAGATTTACTGTTTTACAATTGCTAGAAACGTAGTGATTATCAATAATAAATTTATAATACGTCATTGTTTTTTGCCAATATAGTGGTCATATTTAAAAAAAAAACGTAAAATTGAGTTATAAAAAACCATAGCCTTAATAATGGAAAATACAAAAATCCTTGAATTTCTTGAACTTGTTGGACGATTAAAGGTGATTTTTATTGTGTATATAATGTCTAAATATAATACATTACGTATAATTTCAACTTATAAAATAAAATTTTTTAATATTTACAGCATGTAAAAAGGACAGGCTGGGTAATATGTGATATTGATGAATGTGAATCAATTGCTGGCCATATGTATCGCATGGGGATGATGACATTTTTACTTACTGAAGAAAATAATCCTACCAAACTCGACCGTTTTAGATGTCTGCAAATAGGTAAAGTATTTTTATTGGGTTCTAAGAAATATGATTAAAGCAGGTTCATATCAAGTGTAACTCAATTCAAAATTAAGTATAGATTATTACATTGTACTTGTATTGTTTACTACTTGTTACTTATTGAATTAGTAACAAAGTTTGGAAATAATTAACCACAGGCAATATTGATTACTAGAGCTAGTGGTATTGATACCTAACCCAAAAAACCACAAGTTACATTATACCAATATGATTTGAATTACCTAGTGTGAGTAAATAGATAAAAGCTCTTTTAAATTTATTTTTAACTAAAATAATTGCAGTGTAATGGTGGTGTAGTTAGTTTACGACGGGCTGTTTTCCGCAACTCCACATCTAGGCGCGTATTTTGCGTGTGAATGTGTAGTGTAACTGAATCTACTACCCTAAATCTTACATTGAATGTTGTAAGAGGTGACAATGAACTAGTATAATAAATATGAGTTTAAATAACAAGTGATAAAATTAAAAATGTACCATTGACTTGAATATAAATAAAATGAGAACATCATCAATGTAGTTGAAGTTAATTAATACTATAGAAATTTTCACATTATACTAGATATAGATTTTAAATTATACTAGAGAAAAATTCTGAGGTAACACATAAAAATACAGTTGAATTGAGAACCTCCTCCTTTTTTTTAAATCGGCTGAAAACAATGTTTATTAGCAATCAAATATATCTAAATACAAAGGAGGCTCTGTCTCGTGAACTAGGTTATCACCTGTATCTCAGGATTAGAATTAATTAAAATTAATTTATAATATAAAAATTATTCTAGGTTTAGTATTATTTAGTATAATTTGTTTCGGTAGTCACAAATTCCTTATAAAAATATATTGCACATTTAAAAATTACATTTTTTGCAATGATTATTATGTACACATACATGGGGAGTTTGTGGAATAAAAGGAAAAGGGGTGAAAGAAAACATGAAATTATTTTTCGCTTTTGGTCTATTCTCTATCAACCCTAATATAATTCTCAAACTCTACATATAACTTACTTTTACTTTCGAAAAAAAGATTTGTCAGGGTCCTCAAAATAGGCAGAAATTGCCGACTTCACTTTTTTGTCATCTGTAAATTTCTTTTCCCGAAGCTCTTTTTTCATTTTGGTAACAAATAATAACCTGAAGAAGCCTGATCTAGACTAGCAAGGATGGTTTAAAATTTCGAAGCCACACTTGTGTACGGTACAGTTGTGACTCTTATGAACGGGTGCTTTGTCCTGCAAAAGGAGCATATCCTTTTTTGTAAATAGCATATTTTTATTTCTCTACTAGCATAGCACAATACTTTTCCGTGATATTGACACCTTCATACTTCATCAATAAAACCTCTGAATCCCAAAAAACTGAATCCACAGTCTGTCTAGTCGATTGTGACACCTTGAACTTCTTAGATGGAGCTGCGCTTGTTTATGCCACTGCTTGGACTTCTGCTTTGACTCAGGTTCATAGTGATGAACCCTCATAGTGATGAAGTTCCATCCTCAGTCAAAATTTGGTTTATAATTTCATCTCTGTTGTTCACTACACAGGTCCTAAAACGCGCGAACAATCAAATGCAGCTGCTTTTGAAGAGGTGTGAACATTCTTGGCTCCCATCTTACACTGACCTTATACATGCTAACATGGTCATGGAGAATGTTTAAAACGGTCTTAGATTTTACTCCAGTCATTTCTGCAATGCTTTTTCTTCAGATGAACATCTTCATAAATAAGTTTTTTCGGCAATGTCTGAGGAAGTTGTCTCATTTGGCTGGCCTGAGGGCTGATCGTCATCAATTGAGACCGCCTTGCTTGAAAAGGTAATGCCACTTATAAATCATCGTTTGTCTATGTCAAGAATCCCTGTAAACAGATAACATCTCTTTCATAATGATATGTGGCATTTTTCCTTGCTAAGTGAAGAACTTAATCATGGCATGAAACTTAATTTTCTCCATAGTTAGTGTTCACTTCCCGATTGACTTATTTATCCTGTGATATCTCAAAGGTTATTCAACCAGTCTAGCTGAAACTCAATATTTTTTGTTGTATTAAGTCACCAAGTAGTGATGGTTAAAAAAATCCCCTTCCTTCCTCCTTCTCCTTTCTCCATCCTTTCTCCAACCCCTCCATTCCGCGAATTATTGACCCCCCCTCGTATATACATTGTTCAGTATGTGACTTATTTATATATAAACAAATTAATTGTAAATTAGCAAGCTACGAACACAATCACTCAAATCATAAACAAATAAAATAACTTGTTAAAAAATTCGATTGCATGGTAACAACATTCAACAATTAGAATTTACTAAACTAAGCACAAGTAATGCTCCTAAAGAGGCAATCTATGCCTGTGATCACCATTGTTTTTTTAGGCTGTAATGGACGGATGAATGAAGCACTAGTTAACAAACACCCACTACAGTGTACAGTTTTCTGCTTTCTAACTGAAACTCCACTCTCTTTCCTACTAATAAAGTATATTCCAGTGTTGCAATATTTCATTGAACTTAAATAACTGATGTGATTTTCACTATCATTAAAATTTTTGAGATGTTGATAATTGACGAAATTATTTTTAAAATATTATGTATTTTATTTATAACTTCTGCAATCATGTGTATGCGAGTTTGAGTTCTTTCTCAAAGTGAAACACATGAAAAATCAATTGTGAACCACTGGTCTATTCAAAACATGTATATTATAATGTAACATGTATATATCTTAACCAGTAATTACTTCATATCATTTACCTGCTTCAAATCTAATATCATTAGAGAGAGAGAGAGAGAGAGTGAGATGTCATAATTATAGTAGTAAGGTGCAAACTATAAACCCATTTGTAACTTGTTTGGTGGTCCTTGTTTCCTCAACTCCCTTGACTTGTTAACTTATTTTCTACAGATATCTGGCAATGGTTACTGAACCTTAAAGTGTCAATATTCTATATGTTATATTATGAGTATGACAAACATCTTCAGTAACATTTTGTTATAGCAGACGCATGCATAGAAATAATTACAGTTCAACTGTTCTAGAACATTTAATTTTAAAATGATAAATACTCTGTAAAATGTAAAGTATGTTGCTGATGAAGTATATACCCAAAAGTAAGTTTGTATGACATTATTGAACAAACTAATCTACACTCCTTCAGTCCATGAGCCACTAGCAATCCATAAGTAGTTTCTTTATACAATTTCTTAACTGTATGAACCAAAAAGAAGAAGATTTGCTGGTTGTTTGAGTTCTGTATTCACTTTTTGATGCCTCTTAAACCATAGTTGCAATTCTAATCAGAACTAAGCACAAAACTTGGTTGAGCAACTCAACTTTAGCTACTTCACTTCGTTCAATTTTTCCTTTTAACATTAGACATAAGCAAGGTCTGTATTTGTGATAAGTAGTATTGTCTTTGGTTAAAATTTGGTTAATCACATGGAAACAATGCTAAGAATTTGTTTGGAAAACTTTTTTTTTAGTTTCTTTCCATGAAGCAATTTTTATTTTTGTACAAACAATAAATAACTAAAAAAAATCATGTTTAATTTTCAGCACTTGTTCATGATCTTGCTGAATGTATAGTTGGAGACTTAACACCACACTGTGGTGTATCTCCTGATGAGAAACATAGAAGAGAAGATGAAGCTATGAAAAAAATTGCAGAGCTCACTGGCATTGCTGGGGATAGAATGTATGATCTTTATAAGGTGTGTTCATTTTGTGGCCCTTTTAAACCTCTTCCTCAGTGTATATGTTATGGATCAAGTGTTTAATAGGGCACTATTCATAATACCGGGGCAATATAAATAATGCCCAATATGAGTGGGTGATGTGATAAAAACTATTGAAATAATTAAGTTGACCGCGATTTATGAATTAAGTCAATGACTTACTAAGCAGATTAATGAAAAGATAGGTTAGGTTAGGTTTTTTTGACGTCACATATTTAACACTGGCAATGAAGTTTTTCATCAAAGGTATTTTATCTTTGTAACGCAAAGAAAGGAACACCACATTGCTGCTATTTGATACTGCAAAGTTGTTTTCCCTTCCTTCACATTTTTCACTTGTTAATTTCAGATATGTAGGTACCAATATATAATATCATAATGAAATGATTTATTATATTTACACGAAGACTACAATATATATTTCAATAAAAGTTGTTTTACAGATTTTCGTGTATATAAACTTATTTTATATTTCTAACGTTTCGAGCACTTTACAGCACTCATGGTCACCGGGGAACTGAGGTGTTCCACGTCCTAATGTCATAGTTAACCACGGCTACCTCCAGATTAAAGTTACAATTTTTTGTTCCAATCTATGCAGTATTAACTTATAGTATATTGGAGTCTTTCAGTTGAATGATTGGGTTGGGATTTAATTTTATTAATTATTATAGGACCCCAGGAAACGGTGTTGCCAACTCGAATTTTTCCAAATCCAAAGATTATCATATAATATTTATTTTATTTATAAGGTCTTGTGCATAATATATTTATATCATTTCCAATATTATTTTATTGTTATTTATTTATGAAATTATTTATATAAAAAAATAATTTAATTTTCTCTACACTAAATTTTAGAAGTATTCAATATGAACGGGACTTTGCAATTTCAAAACAAGAACAAAGACGACGCCCACCCCTAACAATGTCCCATTTCACTCTGTCAATATCGCAAATGTAGGAGAGACATACTCAGTACTCATTTGTTAAAAAAACAGACTATAGTTGTTTTAAGTGTGTTATTTGTTAGATCGTTTTTTACCTTTTATAAGTGCTTACAAAGTCAAAGTCCTCATACTTTAGAATTATAATCGGACATATCGATGACTACCGTAGCATTTCCCTTATCTGCTTGGTGAATCGTGAGTTCTGGTTTATTCCATACGTTATTTAACGCTATAAATTAGTGTTATTGAAGATTCGATTCAGGCATTGAACTTCTCTTATTTGCACATATTGTTTTTAAATAAATTGTGCCGGACGGGCGAAACTCTTCGGAGTAAATGTTGTCGAAGATACTTCGCGAGTCGCTCACGTCCTACATCTATAGGTTCCGGAGGGTACTTCCACTGCCGTCCTTATGGGTGCCGCTGAGATATTGTAGACTGAGGTTCAAATCAAAATGCACGATTTATAAATAAAAATAGCAAGGTAGTGGCCAGCGGTTCGACTGATTGATTAATCGCGAAATTTTATAACTATTGTTTATTGACCATGGTTGTTCAACTACAGTTGTTCACTATTGGCTGGTCACTATATATTTCAAAAAATTTCTTTAAATTGTACGGTAGTATCAAATATCTATTGGTAGTAGCTGGTTTTCTAACACTACTGACTAGCAGCTATTATCAACTAAACTAGCTGATTTTATAACTTGTGTAACTGCAGATATCAGTTACCACTTTCACTATATGTAACTGCGAATATCAGTTACGACCTTTTTCAGCTAGCTAACACTTTCACTATATGTAACTGCGAATATCAGTTACGACCTTTTTCGGCTAGCTAACACTTTCACAGTACGCGAGCAACCCGGGTTCGATCCCCACTGGCACCAATGAAATTGTTAATTACAATTTTAAGTGCCGATTTACCACGTACTCGGCAGTGAAGGAAAACATCGTGAGGAAACCTGCATGTCTGAGAAATAAAAATAAAATATTTCGAGGATATGTGAAGTTCGCCAACACGCATTGGGGCAGCGCGGTGGACAATTCCCTGTCCTAAAACACTCACTATTCACTATATACTGCTACTAGTCACTTCAGCTACTACTGGATACTACTGCTTGTCACTGGTAGTTCTTCACACTACTACCCTACTGGGTCCCGAGCCCCTAAGGTAAACTTTGGCTGTACCTTACAGTGAGCCGCTTGTCATTTTCCGTTTTGCGTCTTTATTGCATAAACTTTTCACTATGCAAATGGCATAAATTACAATATTTTCTATACAAAACTAATTGCTACACTAACATGCTATACATCGTCAAATCGGTAGTCTGGTACTTTATTAGTATATCATAAAGGTTACTCAAAATATTAACATTGTAAAAAGTTATTAAACGAAATATCCCAAATTTTCATAATATTTGGGTACATTAATTCTTTGATTTTTTTATAACTACCAAATGCGTTTAATTATACAAAATATTCCTACACTTCCTTAATCTATAAGCCATATGCTAATTCAATGTCATATTTACAACTCTTTTAGAACATAAAATTATTTTCGTTATTTTTAGTATGAACTATTACGCAGTTAATTAAAAACTTCTAGAGAGTTCTACGATAAGACGCGCTACGATTGGTCGATTTTTCTTAATACAATCAAAGTTGTTTACATCACTTGTTATCAAAACGACATTCTATACAAATATACTAAGAGTTATAAACATGCTACACAACTATATCAATACACGTTTTCACCCAGTTTTGTCGGTAATTTCACTATTAATACAAAAAACAATATTCATTATCACTTTGTTTCTTAGCGTTGTTAGGCCGGCGCGAACATCTCTCCCGCCGTGCAGCGTCACGACGATTTTCTCACAGCGGCGCTGCATCCATTTCGGTGAGCGACGTTGCTTCTACTTCAACAGCGGCACGAGTTTTCTGGTTGGCCTCTTGATTAGGCCGTTTGCTGTGCGTACCTCCTCAGTGCGGATCTGTCCGTCCGCACCGGGGTAAACAGCTTCCACCCTCCCTCGTGGCCAGGTGTTACGAGGCAACTGGCCGTCAGCTATGAGGACTTGATCGCCCACCTGGAGAATGGGACCTCGCCCATGGGCCTCCCGCCGGTTTTGAAGTTACGGTAGATACTCTCGGACCCAACGCTGGCAGAACATGTCAGCGAGTATCTTTTTCTTCGAGAGAAGCGCTGTTTCTATGTGCCCGTCTTGTAACTGACGGGTGTTGCTATTTAGTATAGTTCAGCTTTCTTCTCTGGATCGGAGTCTGGTCTTCTCGGATTGATGATGAGAGATTCCAGCGCGAAATATTCGCGGAGTTGATAATCTATAGTCCCCTCGCTCTTGTGCAGCTCATTGGCCGCGTGGACGCGCTAATACGGGGCTTTAGTGTGTGCTCCGTGTAGCACCCATTCTAATTCTGTGAGCGAGGCGATTGGCTGTTGCGGCGGACCTCTTCGGATTTGAGTGGCTATCAGAAGTCTCCAATTGTCCTGTCCTATTAGGATCCTTGGGTTGCCGGAGTCATATATTAGCTGCTCTTTAGGTCTTTCAAGTGGTTGCACTTGGCTATGTTTGCTGCACGCACAGTCTGTGTCCCCAAGTTTAGGCTTGCGACCGTGCGTGCTCTAAATGGCACCCTTTTGCAGTGGAGACTCTTCAGCGATACTTTGATTCTTCGGGATTCCGGTGAATCGAGGGTAGTGTTCCCGATAGCGGTGATCTTAAACGGGTCCAACCGCCCTATAGCTCCAATTTGTTTGGCGATCTCTTCATCCATTAGTGAAACTGTTGACCCATCATCCAGCAGGTCGTGTGTGTTTACACAAGCTCCCGCCGGTCCAATTACTCGCACTGGAATTATTTTTAAATAGGCTTGATGCTTTGACGCAGCGAATGAGTTAGCTACGGTTTCTTGAGGTCATTTTTGGAAAATTCACAATTTTCCAAAAATTTGGATACTTAAATTGTTTGTACATAACTATTATTACTGTCAATAAGATTCACAATTTACAGCAGTCACAAGCTACAAGGTGATTAAAAAATGTACCATAACAAATAAATGTGAAAAGTAAAATACTGCTGAGTGGTGAAATACTCATCTAAATGATGTAAACTTAAGTCTTACAGAATGGTGAAGGGAAGCAGCTGGCAGTTGGCAGCTTAGCGCACTGGTAAAGTACGACATTATCGACACTAGAATCAATGATACGTCAAAATGCCTTTTGACACATTCTTGACGTGGCTAACTAATGTCCATAAGTGGACAAAATAAGCTTGTAAAAATTTTAAAATAAGGAACTCATAATCAAGGTTTCAACAAATGCTTTTTCTTTCCTTTTAATAGTAAAATTAACTCAAAAGTGTGTAACAAGAGTCTTCAAAAGACTCAAAATTGTCGCTTTAACTTTAAATAACTATCATTTTATTATATATTGCTGTGCCCCCGACTTCGTGTGGAATCAGTACTTTTGCTATTCTATGTGCTGATGATTTATTCGAAAATTATACTGTCGCGAAGACTTAGAAAGACATTAATTTGAATAAAAACATTCAGTTAATCGGTCAATCAGACAAATAAATAAACGAACCAAGAAACAAATAGGGAAAACTGTACGCTTGTGTTTTATTTTGTAAATAAACAACAAAATAACCGCAATAATGTAATCCCTAATTTGCTCCCGAATTTCTCTAGCCAATACTTGGTTTCCATTCAACAAATAAGATATTGCCCTAAATAAGCAAACACCATCACTAATTATTGATATTGAATAAAAAATTTATATGAAAACAATCCAATACCTGCCTACCTAAAACTTAGTACCTACACTAACAAAATAATGAAACTGCGGAAGTATTAATATTTTGTCTCTACCTGCAAAAAAATAAAAAATAAAACTAAACTCAACCTAGAAAAGTTTTTTGACCTTTAAACAATAGGTGTCATCGGGCTTAAGCCAAGTACTACAATGATATCCTTTTTTATATATACATTTCATTGAATGCA